CAGATAAACCACTGTAAGCAACACTTCATTCAGCCACATAGTTAAGGTTTTGGAGATGATCTTGCAAGGAACTTGATAGAGACCATCATTGTATCACCATATGTGGTTGAAGTTTGGGAGTAGATGGAAAGTTTGAAAATTTTATGGAAAGTAGCAACTGCAAAATCAATAATCATCCCCCAAAAGGATTGAAAGAAGATACCGGAAAATCCACCCGTTCAGGGACCCAAAACCCTCCAATTAAAGTTGTAGCACATATATCTTCTCTAAAAATTGGTGAGGTCAATGTATAGAAAGGGCTGAATAGCCGTTGAAGCTGGTGATTCTCCACAAAACAAGCCACCTGCAGCTCTTGAAGAAAAAGTTTGATAAAGAAATCCACTACAACCTTACCTTTGTATGCTTTATTGGATTCACTACCCTATTTTCATCATGAAAACCCCAAAAAAAAAATTTACATCATCTTTGTAAGGTGGTTAGATGAAAAAATGAGTATGTGAGTCTCATTCAGTTAGCTTATAGTCTTTGGAATTATGTTGTCAATATATCCCTTCCAACAAAAAAGCAACAAAAACTTGTTACCCATGACCCGAGATAACCATCCATTGACCATTCTACCTTAACCTTACCACATTCAGCAATAATGACATCCTGGAGCTCACAAATGTAAGGAGCTAAATTTGAAATGCCCATGGAAGCCCAGGCGAAAAGGTGATGTCAGGAAATTGTAACATACAATATAGTTGAAATGAAAAAGGTGCCCTCGTAGGTGAGCTTCGATTGGAAAAGTGGAATGTCTTTGGACTCCTCATTGTCGACCCACTAATTACTGAAATGGAAGTTAGACTTTCTTCTTGCAGGCTTGCAGCGGCTGGATGAAACAACAACATGACCATACGGTGGTTAGAGCCAAGATTATATTCATGAAAGATTTGCAAACCTGACCAATTATAAATGGCCGGTTGGGAGCCAAAGTATGAACATAATATTTTTCATGGTATGCTCACTCGGTGAACAAAGGTTTGACCATGTGAATGGAAGCCGATGAAAGCTAAGGTCCTACAAGGAATGAAGAGTAGCAAAATCTTGGAGTTGAGACTAGGAAGTTGGGGAAGGGGGAATGACATTGTTTCTATGTAGTAGACAATAAAGAGTTTAAATCCCCAAGGATATAAGAAAAGGAGAGCACATGATGAAAGAGCAAAAGAGATTTCATTCAATTGAGATTGACAAAAACCTTCATTACAATCTGAATGAATAAAAGCAAAAATAAATTGACCACAGACAGCATGAGAACATTCCAAAAATATGAAAGTCTAAGACAGGAAAGAGAATGAACACACAAGTTCAAAATTCCAGGCTACAACAATTCTACCTATAGTATTTATAGGACTAACTAAGACACATTCTTCAAATCCTAGATGACGAATGCAATTCTTTACTTTGCAATAAGGACACTTAGTTTCACACAAAAAGAAAATCATGAAAGTCCGATTATTTATAACGGAAAATAAAACTCTCTTAGCCAAGGCCTTGCCAAAACGCTGGTAGTTCCAAGCTAGTACACTCATATCATTGATTGGAATTGGCCAGGTCCGATTACCTCCATCCCCATAGTTGCCTCTACACTGTAGTGATCCTAAAAAGTGCGCTCCATACATGACTTTAGATTCTTGAAATAGTTCACGTTATTTCATATCACTCATCTCCATAACATGAGCATTCATACCATTTGGCCACTGAAGATTCAGAGATAGATTCATAGATGGACGTTGGAACCCAAGAGCTATTTGATCCTTATGAGACTAAGATGAGTTCAAAGCTAACCGATCTTATGGTTGAGGTCCTAAGAATAAAGATCCACCTTTAATCCCTCGAGGCAAAGCAAACCGTGGAAATTTTTGTTGTAGATCAGGTTCATTCGCCTTAGGCTCATATATAAGCTAGCAACCTCTTCGCGCAAGTGAGATCCTTAACAACAAATTTAAATACTTGTCGACAATAATTGCTGGAATTACCTATAATCCCACAACATATACAAAATAATGTAGACCTTCAAAGAAAGCAGATGCCTCAAATGAACCTTTACCCAAATTTTCATGAGAATCCAAAACCATATGGTGAAGTGGAATGCATTCATCGACTATAACTCAATCCTGATGCCCCACCCATCCACTGGCAAATATGGAAATCAACCTTTTGCAAATGACCCTTAGAAACACGAAGATATTTGGTCATTAGAATAGTATGCCCTTGTTTGGGGCATCCCAGAATTGAACCCAAAGTGTCAATGCTTTAAGGCTTGTAGACGCCTCCACCAAAGGGGAGCCCCAATAATGAATATGGATCATTAACATAGGTAGAACCCACGAAGTTGCAGCTAGAATATGGTGGAGAATAGCCACTTATGAAAAAATGAACTGGATTTGGTCATCAACCATTGGGAAAATAGTGTAGGAACTGTGCACTTCCACACATCAACTATGAAGTTTTGGAGGCTTGCCGGAGATTTGGACCAACGATTGTATTAAGGATAATGGAACTTGCCCGCTCCTCAAAAAATGTTGTGATCTCATTGTACACCATATCTACTATTGAAGCCATTGTAGAGGATCTTCTAAAACTCAAAACACCAACCGAGAATTCTGTTTTCACAAAGAAATTAGTGTGACATGCATGATGATCTCCAATTGAGGCCATATAAGGCATTCATCGTAGGGCCTAACCGCCCGAGAGGAGAAGACATGTTGTCGAAGATACAAAGTGGATGTCGCATAATCGACAATAGAGTTAAATGGGGAAGGAATCGTAGAGGTAGTGAAAGGAGAGAGAGAGAGAGAAAGAGAACGATCCTCTAATGTTTTTGACAATTATAAAAACTTGAACTAGTCAAGCCGAATGATTACCCAGGCTAATCCTACTTATTGGATCTTTTATGAATTTTGACATTCTGGTACTGTGGATCTTCTGATTACGCATAACCTTTTCTTTGTGATATTTTTATGGTAGTTGATTTTATGTTTGAACCAATGTATATATGATTCATCGATAAAAAAACCATCTATGGCATATATATAACACCATGTGAGATCAGTTTTAAGAAAAAAAATGTTCTATCTCCTCTCTCTTTGAAAGCTTATGAAAATTTCTTTTACATATTTCTTTGTGATGGCAATCTAACACAAACTCATGGGAGAGTACGATGTTGATACGAACGATCAAATATTTAATTTACTCGAGTGAGGGCTTCAATCCTGATTGGAGATTACATGAAATATCCCCAATCTCCATGTTAAACAAGTTCAGAAGACATGTAACTGAACAAATTTAGATCTCAGTGTTAAAGCGATGATACATGATGCAAGTGGAGGAATGAGTTTCTCTCCCACCACCGGGGTTTGAGATGGATTGTGAAATGGCTTGTGGGCCAATCCATGAGTTTAGCTTCTTTGCTACACTCTTTATGTATGATGGGCTTTTTCGATGGGGGCGTGTTTGTGGGCTCGCTGTCAGTTGCATGAATGGTTATTCGATGTGCAACGATGAGTGTGGTGATGGCGCAAGGAGCATGGTATGAGGGACTTGAGGATCCGACACTGGTGGAGCTAGTGCCCCTTGAGATGGGACTAATGGTGTAGTAGCGTTGATTTCTCCATTATGTGCTTGGAAGGAGATGCAAAAACCATATGATAAGGTGAACATTGATATAACTTCGGATGGTAGGGGGTGTAGTTCTTCACGAGGTTCGGTGGATGCTCCATTCTATTCTAGGATTTATGGTGTGCTTTTTAAGCAAAAAACAATAGGGGTAGCCAATGCGGTGGCTAAGAAAACCCTCTCTTTGTTACCTGTTGCTTTGGACCGTTTCGACATGAGATTATCTCCTTTCAGAATTATAAATGGTGTATTTAAGTTCCGTTGATGATGCAAATTTCAAAGTGATCTTTGGTTAAAAACAACTAGACGGCGAAACGTCACCCTAAAAGTGCTAAAATCACCCTAAATTAAAACTATAAATCACCAAATCATCCTTTCCAAAAAAGTTATGAACCCTACTCCAAACATCTCAATGTTGCATCCCCCCAATCGACTTCCGCCAATCGTCTTCGCTATTGGCCTCACATGACAAGCGCCACTGCATCCTATTCTCCAAAAGGTGGGCTGACCAAATCCTATCTTTATCCGGTGGGATACACATATAAATAATTGCACAACTATCATCATCGCCGTCGAGCTCTTGCATTTTCATTCCATGAGTTTAACCTTCCATCCTGGCTGCTTCACTATATTTAACGACACTGATGTGGCAATGTCCAACAAGGATGAGGGAAGGCATGTGTTTCGATGAAGGATGGGTGTTTGTTTGTTTTGCATAAATTGAGGGTGTAAATAGAAAATAAGTAGAAGGATAAAAAAGTAATTGTTAATATTAAACTAGGACGATCATTGTAAAATAAGATGACAAGTAGCAATAAAATTACCTCCTCTTCAAGATAAACACAATTTATGTTCATTGCTTTATTCTTGTTTCCTGATTCTCGCCTAATGCATACATACTAGTGTTGTCATACTGGTGGAATGCCAGTCGGTTGGACCTAGTTCAACCAGTTCGAGTCATGAAACTGGCGTGAATACCACAGGTATGACTAACATGATCGATTTTCTATCCATAAACAAAATGACATCAGGTTTTATTTTGGATTCAAGTATAAAAGTTTGGGAATTGATGGTAAATGTTGTATTAAAATATGAGTATTTGATATTTTGTTTGGAATGTTGTATTTTGGGTAAACTGCAAGTTTGGTCACTAGAATTACTAAATAATTTTACGTTTGCCACTAAAATTATTTTATTTCATTCATGATCACTAAAATTAGTTCAACGGTTCAAGTTTGGTCAATCTCCGTTATCTATATCCTATGTGGCAGTTAACACTCATAGTTGACCGTTAAATGAATGATGTGGCAATAAAAAAATCTGATTCAATTTCCACCTCACTATAAAAAAAATTACAATTATTAACACCTCGTCGTCGTTGCTTCAGCACGAACGCCGACCATCAGCACCAACTCTAGTGGAAACCTCGCGCAACCATCGTAATCACCATCAACGCAGGCCATCACCACCAAATTCGGTGGATAACTCCAACTACAAAATCTTCGCAATCATCCACGATCTTTACCACCGCGTACACAATGCTCTAAGAAGTTTGCTCCAGTCTGAGAGACACTTCCTATGGGAAAGAAATTGTCGAAGAAATTTCTCAATGCCGGTGGGTCCAATCGATATCTGAAATCCGCAGGAGATCTTATCTATAGAGTTGCGCCACCACTTATGCAAACAAGGTTGTCCACCAAGGTTAGGATTAGGGGTGGATATCGGTTCGATTTGGTTCAAACCAAACCGAACAAGGGTATGCCGGTCTCCTAGTATTCCTGAAAGCTGAAACAGATTCTGAGTCGAAATATATTTCGGTTCTGTCTAGCCAAACCAAAAATATATCGGTCCGGAACTACAAACCCAAAGAACACGACCTCTTTCCTGCTCTCACTATTTCTTCAAATTGAACCTCCAAAAATAACAAAACCCCTTTCTTTCCTCCGCCCTCCCACCTCTTCCTCTTCATTCTCCCCTCTCACATAGCAGCATCAAAGATCTAACTCCGCCCATAATAAATCGTGCTCCACATCCTTGACGCTAACTCCCTTTGTCGCCGTGGTCACGCTCAACTCCCTTCGTCGCCGTGGTCGCCCTCTCCCACCCTGGATCCCTGGCCCCTTATACTGCTCACCGGGCGATTGTTGAAGACGAGCCTTCTCCACCCTCTGCCGTCGATTGATGCATATGCTATGAGCGAGATTGGTGAGTTTTGAGCTGGGCTTTGGGGGTCGAGTGGTGTGTGGTGGTTGGCTGCCTTTCGTGAGAAGTGAGAGACAGGGATAGGCGGGAGAGGAACTAAGAAGGGAATGAAGCTCGTTAGCTTCTTCAATCTCATATCTTGCGGACCTCTGCCGCTGTCGTCGTCTCGTACTAGAGTTTAGAGCGAGGTCTAGGGTTGGACGAGGAGAGAGGCGAGAGAGAGGTGTGGGTTCGGGCTTAGGTTAGGTGTTGGTTCAGGCTTAGTGAGTTATATTCATTTCGGCTTAGTAAGTTGTAGTCATTAGGTTTAGGGTTGTGGGAGATTCGTTAATTTGGGCTTTGGGGGGCTAGGGTCATTTGGGCTTTTGGTGGGTTGGGTTGAGTATGTACAAGGGTGATGGGCCGTGCTTGGGCTGGCACGGCACAAGCACACTTCGAGCCCATTTATTTCGTGTCGTGCTTGACACGACCCGTCAGTTTTCGTGTCGTGGCATGCAAGCCCATTTGTTAACTATGCTAGGCACGGTTCGAATCGTGCCATGCCTATTCGTGCTCATGCCATGCTCGTATTCGTGTTTAATGAAAAAGGACGAAAACAAAAGAGAGAATGAAAAAGAAGGTGAAAATTGGACGGAGGAAGATAGTATTAACCGATAATGTTCGAGAAGTAATTAGGGTGGGGAAATTTGGGGATCAAATCCTCCTTCAGGTTCTTAATTCTCTCTTTGGAGAAATTTAAGGTCGCCGCTGAATCATTGCTTGCTCATGATTCACTTTCACTCGTCCTGATTAGTGATGGCCGTCGGTTGATGAATGCTCCACGCTGAGAGCTAGCCGCCAGTATAGAAATCCGCCGGTGATGGCGATGGCGGTCGGGGGGGGGGGGGGGGGGGGGGGGGGTTTGTGAGATGGTGGATCGGAGGGGATCCGCCATCACCGAAGAGAGGTGGAGACTGGAGAGCGACGATAGATCTGCCGTCATCGAAGAGAGAGAAGTATAGAGTTTAGAATGCTCCCGAACCTAATTAAGTAATTACATAAATTAATTTTTAATAATTGTAAAAATGAGGTGAAGATTATACAATTTTAAATTTTATTTATTATTATTTTAATTAACACGTCACTATTTTAACGGTCAACTCTGAGTGTTGACCGCCACTATGATAAAAATAACGGAGACTAATGGAGAGTGATTAAGTTTAAACTGTTAAAGTAATCTTAGTGACCATGAATGAAATAAAATAATTTTAGTGACAACCGTGAAATTATTCAGTAATTCTAGTGACTAAACTTGTTATTTATCCGTTGTATTTTATTTAAATATGAATATAAATTATAAATAAATTATCTTCAAATATATTTTATATTTATTTAAAAAATATATATTTTATTAAATGGGGATCAACCGACACCAAACAATTACATGGGATGGGATTATGTGCTAATCCTTATAGGGGTTAGCACCGTGATAACTAGCAAAAAACGCTACTAAAAATAACGAAATCACTACGGATTATTATACAATCAATACAACATCTAAACTAAATCACTACTAATTCAAACTAATAGTAGTTTTTCCCTTGATTAGAACGGTGCTAACTATTGTACAATTAACACCGTAACTCCTCCCCAATTACATCACTAATCCAACCATACCACTTCTAAACCAACTCATCGGTATAAACCAATTTCACTACAGATTCCATCACACGTGCTCGGCGCAAAAAAAGAAAGGAAAAAGAAAAGAATCTAAGATAATAACACGCAGGTCCCCCCGATGGCCGCAGAAGTTAATCTGCTAACTGCTCAAAGTGTTAGCAGATACTAACAGGGCAGGATTTTGGGCCACCTCGGCCCATGTTTCATCCAACGGAGGGGAGAGGCGGCTTGGTGGTGGCTCACTTAAGTGAGCTGTAGGTGGGCCAACGTGTAAAAGTCGGCCCAGCATGTGGCGGCGGCTACGGATCCGAGCAAGTGGCGTGGTGGGCTGGTGGGCCCGGTTTGAGTTTGGGCGGGAGAATGGATAGGAGTGGAAAGAGAACGAAAATTGATAGGCCCCCTCTCATATTTATGTATGTTTGTTTGTGTGGATATTTATTTGTTTTTAGTCGATATTATTTTCTGTTGTGTTGATATTACTTTGCATCATTGTTGAAATGAACTAGTATTCTTCCTTCGCAAACCAATATCCATCATTAAACTAATATTTACCAAACCCCAAAATAACCCAACCACCCGAAACTGATTACACCAATTTAGAGTTTAAGTTTTAGGGTTTATGGTTCGGGTTTTCAATTTGTGAAGGATTGGAATATTGTTTCTTACATCAAATTAAACACACTAGGAAGTCCTAACACGTAAGGCTTGCAACCTTAGTTAGGGCTGCCCGCCGAGGGCCCATGGGCCGAAGGCCCATTAAATAATAATAGTTTTATGGTTTAGGGTTTGTGTTACGGTTTAATGTTAAGGGTTTAGGGTCTAGTTTAGGTTTGAATTTATATTTAGTTCATATTTTCGAAAATTTTCTTGGACTTTTGGATATTCTAATAGGGCTTTTTTGGTTATGTGATTAGGGTGTTAGTGTTAGGGTTTATGATTTATTATTTTTTTTAGGGTTAAAGGTTTAATTATTAGTCTTGTGGTCGTTTGCAATGAATGGATATTAGTTTACGTGGTTCAAATATTAGCTTTTGGTTGAATTGATATTAGTTCATGCTTTTGGATATTTGTCTGGGAAGTTTGGATATTCTAATGGGCACTGTTGGTAACTATTTCGATGTGATCATTTGTTTATTTAAGGATCTAGCACTTTTGGTAACTATTCGGATTAGTCTACAACTATCATATATTAGTCAGTATGTGGTGGATATTATTATGTCATAGTGATAATATCCATTTTGGGATCACATGATATTCTTCTGAGACAAAAGGATATTAGACTGGGTGGTGTCGATATTTGTCTGGGTAGTGTGGATATTCTTTTTAGTTTTAGGGTTTAGGGTTCATTAGTTCATGTTTTCGGATATTTTTTGGGACGTTTGGATATTCTAATGGGGCACTTTTGGTAATTATTCCGATGTGATCCTTTGTTTATTTAAGCATCTAGCACTTTTTGTAACTATTCGGATTAGTGTACAACAATAAGATATTAGTCTGTGTGTGATGGATATTAGTCTGTTATATATGGATAATCTTTATTTTGGGATCACATGCTATTTTTCTAAGACGGTGGGATATTAGACTGGGTGGTGTGGATATTCATTTTAGTTTTAGGGTTCATGGTTCATTAGTTCATATTTTCAGATATTTTTCTGGGAAGTTTGGATATTCTAATGAGACACTTTTGGTAATTGTCCATTAAATAACAATAGTTTTTATGGGTTAGGGTTTGTGTTGGGAAGAGGGTTAAGAGTTTAGGGTCTAGCTTTGGTTTGAAGTGATATTAGTTCATGTTTTCGGAAATTTTCTTGGACGTTTGTATATTCTAATGGGGCACTTTTGGTAACTATTAAGATGTTATCCAACGTTTATTTAAGCATCTAGCACTTTTGGTAACTATTTGAATTAGTGTACAAATATAAGATATTAGTCAGTGTGGCGGATATTAGTTAGTACATGCTGGATACTATTTAGTTTGTGGTGGATGTTAGTCAGTGTGTTATAGATATTATTCTGTTATATTTACAATATTATTTAGGTGTCACTAGATATTTGTCTGAGACGTTTGATGAGGCATGGAGCAGCATGGTTTCTGATTGTTTTCCTAGTAGTGAAACTGTCGATGGTCACCAATGGATGCAATATTTGAAGAAATTTCGTTATCAATGGTGTTCCTTATATCTGAGAGATCAATTCACAGCGCGCATGTTGACAACGCAAGCCAGTGAGTCGTGCAATGCACAAGTGCTACTCTTCTTGAAACCGAAACATAATCTCGACGATATTTGTATCCAATGATAGGATATTATTATGGATAGGAGGATATTAGTTTGTGATGTGTGGATATTTGTCTGAGTAGTCGGATATTAGTTTGCGGGGGTAAGATATTAGTCAGTGTGTGGTGGATATTTGTCTATGATGGTGAGGATAATAATTATGGTATGACTGGATAATAGTCTGAGACGAAGAGATACTAGTCTGGGTGGTGTAGATATTTGTGATGGTGAGTGAATATTAGTCTGCGACACTCGGATATTAGTCTGGGTGGTTTGAATTTTTGTTCTGCATGGATGGTTATCTACATTGGTTTTCAAGTATGAAGAAATAGTGTGTGTGTGTGTGTGTATATATATATATATATATTGATGAAAATTTGGAAGTAAGGTCTTTTCAACCTATGATAATTGCTAATTAAGAGACTATGGCTGGATATGTGGTCACACATTAGTCTGTGATAGTGAGAATATTAATTTCGGGATGATTAGATATTCGTATGAGACGGTGAGATATTAGTCTGGGTAGTATGGATATTTGTAATTGAGAATGGATTTTAGTGCGACAGTCAGATATTAGTTTGAGTGGTTTGGATATTTGTTTTGTGGAGATGTGTTTTCGACGAGCAAATAATATTCCAGAATAAAAAACTCGAATTCTTAATAAAAAGAGTCGTTTGATAGACAAATCGCGATAAAACTAGTATTTAATGTCATTACAACTTGGCAATCCAAGAATTTCAAATTCGAAAAAGCACAACCATATAAGAAATGAGAAAGCAATAGTTCAACTTTTGTCTTGCTGACGCTTGATAATTTTTTTGAGCGCGTCGTCCCGAGCCCTCCACATTTGGATCATGCTCTCAACCATTGAGTCCATTGCCGCAAGCTACATATGTTGTCAAATATTTAGTTTACTATATGCAACCATGTCACTTAAGAAGCAAAGACAACATCTATGTACCTGATTTAGGTCAAGATTGTCAAAATCTTTGTTTTCCCAGCATGATGCGTCTGGATTGAGCCAGTGATGTGTCTCCGCCTCCCCTTCTCTTGGAGGAGCTGGCATCGAACACCTTTTGGATTTTGTCATCTTGCACAATTTCTGAAAATAGCTAATATCATTGAACTAATATCCATACAAGGCATAAAAATATCCAGACCTAGCATACAAATATCTATGCATCACATAACCAATATCCTGACAATCAACCACCATACAATATCCACATTAAACTAAATGGTATCCCATGCCAGCTAAACAATTTTCGAGGTAAAAAAATATCAAATTAACGAGCAAAATCCAGAAACAATTCCTGAAAAGAGCTAATATCATTGAACTAATATCCATACATGACATAAAAATATCCAGACCTAGCATACAAATATCTATGCATCACATAACCAATATCCGGACAATCAACCACCAAACAATATCCACATTAAACTAAATGGTATCCCATGCCAGCTAAACAATTTTCCAGGTAAAAAATATCAAATTAACGAGCAAAATCTAGAAACAATTCCTGAAAAGAGCTAATATCATTGAACTAATATCCATGCAGGGCATAAAAATATCCAGACCTAGCATACAAATATCTATGCATCACATAACCAATATCCGGACAATCAACCACCAAACAATATCCACATTAAACTAAATGGTATCCCATGCCAGCTAAACAATTTTCCAGGTAAAAAAATATCAAATTAACGAGCAAAATCCAGAAACCCCAAACAATATCGACATCAAAAAACGAATCCCCCAAATCAAAAGAAATCCAAATCAAAAGAAATCCCAGCCACAAAAAAAACTCAGATCCCCCAAAATCGAAAGAAATCCAAATCCCCCAAATCAAAAGAATCCCAGATCCCCCAAATCGAATCTCAAATCCCCCGACAAGAATCCCAGATCCCTAACAATGAATCTCAGATCCAAAAAACGAAGCAAAAAAAAAAAAAATCTCAGATCTAGTCGAATCTATGAAACCCTAAATCAAATATATGTAATCCAGCCACAGAAAATCCCAGATCCCCCAAATCGAAAGAAATCCAAATCCCCCAAATCAAAAGAATCCCAGATCCCCCAAATCGAATCTCAAATCCCCCGACAGGAATCCCAGATCCCTAACAATGAATCTCAGATCCAAAAAACGAAGCAAAAAAAAAAACTCAGATCTAGTCGAATCTATGAAACCCTAAATCAAATATATGTAATCCAGCCACAGAAAATCCCAGATCCCCCAAATCGAAAGAAATCCAAATCCTCCAAATCAAAAGAATCCCAGATCCCCCAAATCGAATCTCAAATCCCCCGACAAGAATCCCAAATCCCTAACAATGAATCTCAGATCCAAAAAACGAAACAAAAAAAAAACTCAGATCCAGTCGAATCTATGAAACCCTAAATCAAATATATGTAATCCAGCCACAGAAAATCCCAGATCCCCCAAATCGAAAGAAATCCAAATCCACCAAATCAAAAGAATCCCAGATCCCCCAAATCGAATCTCAAATCCCCCGACAAGAATCCCAGATCCCTAATAATGAATCTCAGATCCAAAACACCTACCTCAAAGATCCGCCTTCACCGTCAATGAATTAGGAGAAAGGAAGATGCTTACCTCAAAAACTTTCTTCTCTTTGCAGCTGGTGTAGTCGTCTTCCTCGCGCTACTGGCGTCGATGTCTTCCTTCTTGCTCGGCCGACTTCGTCTTCCTTCAAGCACCGCTACCGGCGTTGCCAAGCACCGCCGTCTTCTTCCTGTCCGTAGCCCTCATCGCCGGCGTCGTATTTCTCACACCCGTCGTTGTCGAGAGGTATTTTGAATTATTTGGGAGAGAGAGAGAGAGAGAGAGGAAGAAGAAGAAGAACAGAAGAGAGCAGTCAGTTTTGGAGAGTGGGAGAGAAAGGAAAATGAAATGATAGAGAGAGAAGAAAATTAAACATAAATGAAAAGGTTGGGTTTTTTTGAATTGTAAAAAAAAAAAAAGAGAAGATGCTTGGTTTAGCCGAGCCACAAGCTGCTCTTCTCCCCCTCTACCGTCCGATCGCGGCTCGCCTACGTGGCCTCAAATCCGACCGTGTTAGTATATACTAACTGCTTATACTGTTAGCAGAATAACCATATTGCCCGATGGCGATTACACGCAGGAGAAGAGAGAATTCGGGCCTTCGGGGTCCATTGCTGTTAATTGCAGTAAAACAGAGGACCATATCGTAAACGTTTATCGACCACCGGCCAATCGTTCCCATTTTAGTGGTCAGATTCGTCACTACTGAACAAAGGGGGGAAAAACGCAACTCTTCCGTCTTCGTCCGTCGTTTGTGTATTTTTAGATTCCAGTGACGGCGACAGGAGGCCGTTCTTCCCCCTTCACTTCTTCCTCTGCTCTGTTGGTTGCAATTGTTGCTCTGATTCTTGAGATGGGATTCGCGGAGCTTCTGAGTTCAATTGACTGGGAACATGAATCGTATCCAGCTTACGAAGACTATATGGTTCTTCCATTTTTTGCTTTCTTCTTCCCCACTGTCCGCTTCTTCTTAGACAGATTCGTATTTGAGGTACGGCTTGCTTCTGGGTTTCCCTTCGTACTTCTGCTGCATGTCTTGCTATCTCCCGCTTCTTTTAGGTTCCAGCTGACTTAGAAACTTTGTTGAACCTTCTGCTTGGTGCATTGAGACATTCTCTTTTGGCATTGTAAGTTTGTTTGCTTCTGATTGCTAGGGCAAAGGGTTGTGTTGAGGTCCGTGAATTCTGCGTGTAGTTTTTGTTTACAGGGTCGTTGACATTTTTGCCTATGTTTCCTGCTGAACTTAGGTAGCTAGATTCGTTGAAATGGTGTGAATCTAGAGAACAATGACGGGAATTTAAGTTGATCCGAATATATCCACTTAGTAGTGCTAATAGCTTCCATTAAGAAATTATTAGATTTCAGAATAGAGAAGTGAAGTCTTGAGGCACACCAGGAAATACTTCAATTGGATGTTGCAGTATATTCCAGAAGCTTAGTGGCTAACTTTTCGGATGCACATTGCCTTATTCGCTTCAGTTAAGGCTGATAATGTATTCTGAAAATTTTCTCCGAGATTATCAAACTTTAAGGCCATTGGGCTATAGTACCCCCCATTCAGGATCTGGGTTCGGTTGGCTTTTGTTACAAGAAACGGCGATTAGTCTGTTGCTGCCAGCATTTACACAAGTGTTTATGGTTTTGAGTATCAGACTAGCATGTCATGGTAAAGATTCTTTTGAATCTTGATTCCTGGCTCATTCAGTTGAGGTTTTCAGAAGTTGCGGGTAGCAATAGATTCATCTTCTTTTACATCTTTCCTCTTTTTGAACTTCTCTCTGTTGTTATAGACTTATTTATCATGATTGTGGTAACATAGGCAAGGTAACTACGATTTGAATTTTGATTAATGTGTATGGGTTCCTATCATCGAAAGAGGTATTGTTTCGCATCTACAGTGAAAACATGATATATGCAGTATGACCACAAATAGCTGTATGTAGAATATAAGTGTTCCGTTTCTCATGTGGGCTGTTTCATTCCTGTTTGTTTGTCGTACTATTTTCCAGGTCATATTATTCCGTGGGTACGTTGAAACATGACCTACATTTTGACTTGTCTGTATTGTATGTCTGTTCTTTCAAAAATATCTGTACTTAGATATTGCTGTTATAGCTTAGCTTTCCTATTTGGCATGCGCTATCTTCAGTACACGTGACATTAACTTTTATGTTCTTGCTGGGAAGTAATTGCCATATGTTCTAGGTTGTCAAAATCCTAGTGAAGTGCTGAACCAGCTGTGAATACTTTTATGTGTGAATAAGGAGGGATTTTCCATTTTCTTATTATTTTTGAACCACAGATGCACAAAGTGACAAGAACGTCTTTTCCTTTCCCCATGAATTGAGCAACTTAATTTATAGAATGGTCACTGGTTATACTTCATGGCTTGCAACTTCCGTTAGAACACTATCAGCAAAGGAACATGGAAAAGGGTTGCTGTTGTTTTCTGCTGTTGTTCTAATACTACTATTCTCTCACAAGTTTTGTATATTAGTTAACCTTCTGTCTCTCTTCTTTCTCTTAGCTCACTCATGTTTTTTGCTGGGTGAGTCTGAAGTTAATGTCCATGTTGCAGAAAGTGGGGAGAAGATTGATTTTTGGAAAGGGATACCAGATTGTGGAGGATGATGCAGCAGACAGAAAGAAGAAGATAGGAAAATTCAAAGAATCAGCATGGAAATGTATCTACTTCCTTTCCGCTGAGATTTTAGCTTTATCTGTCACGTATAATGAGCCTTGGTTTACAAACACAAAAAACTTTTGGGTGGGGCCAGGAAATCAAGTCTGGCCAGATCAACAAATGAAGTAAGAATTTGGAAGGACGTCAGAGCACTATAGCTTTTATTGGTTCTTATTTAGCAGTTCGCCATAGCTCTGATTAGATTTATCAAAGTGCCATAACTGAACAAAAACTATTCTGTGGAATTTCAGGTTAAAGTTGAAAGGCTTATACATGTACTCTGCTGGGTTTTATACATATTCAATATTTGCTCTCATATTTTGGGAGACAAGGCGTTCTGACTTCGGAGTCTCTATGAGCCATCATGTTGCTACTGTCATTCTCATTGTTCTGTCCTACATATTTAGGTAACTAAAGGCAGAGTTGTTTTCATATATTCAGATCATTTCGTCATTGTGTTGCAATTTTGTGAAGGTTCTTTTGACCGTATCAGTACAGCTTCACATATTGCAGTGTAGGCTATGAAACACATATGTATGTATCAGATGTTAGTGATTGATGGCAATTTTAATAATTGATTGTATTTGTTCCTTTGCTTGCAGATTTGGTCGTGTGGGTTCAATTGTCTTAGCTCTTCATGACGCTAGTGATGTATTTTTGGAGGTGGGAAAAATGTCCAAATATAGTGGTGCTGAAGGCATGGCAAGCTTTGCATTTATTCTTTTCGTATTATCGTGGATCTTGCTCCGGCTCATTTACTATCCATTTTGGGTCCTCTGGAGTACAAGGTTTGTACGATTCGATGCTTAAGTAATATATTATCTTAGGGTCTTGATATTTGTAGTTGTTGTCCACGGGCCAGTGTTGCTAACATAAAATTTTATGTTTGGTGATGCTATTCTGAGTACTGGTTTGGAAGTTACTATTTATCATATATCTTATACAGCCTTTGTATAAACTTACTATCAGGGAGATACATTAGAAGGGCTTGACATTTCATTTTTATTTTTGAGGAGATTAATGAAGGCTTAGGCTTAACTTGTAGCACAGACATGCCATACACTAGCTAAACGAGTATGTTCTCAGCTTCTATACTGGTAAGGTTGTCATGTGGAGAACTCAGGGACTGTTCGGAATGAGTTTGTGGTGGAGTCGTATGGATGATCTGTCCAACTAAATCAAGCAAAATACTAGCTCAAGCGCATGTCATGTTCATTGACTCCTAGCAAATCAAGTTTAAGTCGACCTCAAGCTTGGTGGTTGATGACTGAAGTACAACAAACTGAGTAATACTGTAAGCTAAGATTGTTATCTATCAACTGTATGATGAGTCCAGCTTCACCAAAGAACAGTAGCTGATACTTTTCTTTGTGTTTAAGACCTTGAGTTAGATTATTCCATCCCTCTCCAAGATATGGCGAGAATATATTGCTCCTATTCCAAGATTGCGCTTTTGACCCAGCGTGGCTCATCTTCTCTTTCTTGGTGGTGTTCTGGTTGTTCTGATGATATTCTGTTTAGTTTGCCAGTTGTTTTCTCCCCAGTGATCTTGCTTTCTTAACTCAATTGCAGCTATGAAGTTGTCTTGACGTTGGACAAGAAGAGGCATGACTGGGAGGGTCCGATCTATTATTACGTGTTTAATTCTCTTCTATACTGCTTGCTTGTGCTTCACATATATTGGTGGGTGTTGATCTATCGGATGCTGGTCAAGCAAATCCAAGCAAGGGGACAGCTAAGTGATGATGTTCGATCAGGTAGGCTAAACACATCAATAATACACAGATGTGGCAATTTAGAGAATACTGAAGAATTGTCTTCTTGTGTGCTTGCTTGTATTTGTGTACTGGGTTCGGTACGTAGGTATGAATTGGTTCTCTTTAATATAGAAAAGCCCATACTATGTGACTGGGAACAACGATGTTGAGTATAATGTGCATAAGCAGTACTTCATTTCAAACTCTACCCTGAGCAAAAAAGATGTTTAGAATCTCATCTCTTTCAAATATTTTGTTTATAGATCTCTGCAGTACATCTGAATTTAGATTGATACACTTAACGAACATTTCTAGTTGAAGCCGGTCATTTCAAGTTATGCCTATCAGTTACTTCAGCTTGCTTTCGATGCAACGTTAGCACTAAAATGAACTTCCCATGTATTTCCGTTCTGCAGATTCAGAAGGTGAACATGAAGATTGACTGAAGGTACTCTTAGATCTCAGAACCACAAAATGGTCAACTTCTCTCTTTATAAGTTCCTTACAACGACTTGAAAATACCTCTTAGAAACATGATTATTTAGGCAATTGGTCAGATTCCCATGTTGCTTAGAATGTGACTGTTCCTGAGGTTGTCAAACCCATTCCTTGCCTTCCTACATATTGGCAGGTGAACGATTTGGGGGGGTTTTAATGTAATGAAATGTGATTCGAGGAAATACCCTTCACAATTAGAAGGGATTGTATATGGGTCTTAATGCAGATTGCTGAAGCAGATGAATACTAGCAATAGAAGAGTAGTGGAGATTGCTGAAGCAGATGAAACAGATGGACACTAGCAATAGAGGAGTAGTGGAGAAATCCATTCTCCGGTAGCTCTGACGGTCAATGATTTGTTGTATGGAAGGTTTTTCGTTTTCATTTTAGTATTTTTCCTGTGTAGGATTGACTACTAAGATACTACATTTGTAGGATCAGATCCCCGTGGCCAATTTGTGGACGAGCTTATTCTTTAGCATTTATCTTCCTTATCTTTTCTCCCCAATTATGTGTCCTCTTATCAGAAGTTCAGAAACCAGAGCATCCAGTTC